GCTGGAAGCCCAGATGGCCGAGGAGTGCTCCCCGCCTGGCCAGCTGCCCACGCCTCTAGCTTGGACTGTCTGAGGTCCTGAGAGGGAGGCCTAGTCTCCAGCTGCTTAGCCCCAGGAGGAAGGTAGGGCTCACAGGCTGGATGGGTCAGACGCAGCAAGGACAAGAGGCCGCTTGACTCTCACCAGCACCTGCCTGTGTCCCAGGGCTGCAGTGTGTCCAGGAGGGACCAGCAATGCCCATCTGTCTTGCCTTGGCCACTGCCACAGCCAGCTTGACCACCCAGACCTGAGAGATTTGCTCACCAGGGCACTCGACACAGCAGGCCACAGAGCTGCCCAAAAGCCTTAAATCTGCTCCCACCTTTTTATTCTTGATCTCGGTGTAGACGTGCTCTGGAAGATGATCCATTTGGGGCATTGACGCTCCTTCCGCTTGCCACTGTTTTTCTTAGTTACTGCATTATTTTCAGACGGCTGGTGGATACTTTATACCTGTAGGCAATGCACTGGAGATGTGCCTCTTGGCTGGTGACTTCTGACTACTCCCACGGAGGGAAAGCCTGGGTTCCCCCTACCACCCGCATTCCCACCCTCATCTTTTCCTTATGTCCCCTTCAAGATCTTGGACATTCGCCTTCTGTTCAATCGTACATTTGAGACCTCCTTTTTCATCTATAGGATGATTCTAACCGGGTGATATGGTTTGGCTGTGTCCCCACCCAAATCTCATCTTGAATTGTAGCTCCCATAATCCTCATGTGTCATGGGAGGGACCCAGGTGGAGGTAATTGAATCATGGCAGCAGTTACCCCAGGTTGCTGTTCTCGCGACAGTGAGTGAGTTCTCACAAGATCTGATGGTTTTCTACGGGATTGTCCCCCTTTTGCTCGGCACTTCTCCTTCCCGCCGCCACATGAAGAATGACGGGTTTGCTTCCCCTTCCACCATGGTTGTTTCCTGAGGCCTCCCCCGCCCTGTGGAACTGTGAGTCAATTAAACCTCTTTCCTTTATAAATTACCCAGTCTCAGTTATATCTTTATTAGCAGTGTGAGAACAGACTAATACACCAGGCCATCCTGATAAACAGCACTTAAGTATTATGACGATTTAAATATCATCTTTTGAGAAGCCAAGTGCTATGTTTATGTACTAGGGCAGGAAATACAATTCCATTCTAAACCCTTCCGAGTAAACCAGACTCCACGGAGCACAAGCTCTCTGTACCCCGTTTGTTTTCACTCTAGACTTTCACCTTTCCTCCACGTCCTTGCGTCCCCCTGGCCTCCTTCTTCCCAGCTGCTGTGCCTCAGGTGCTTCAGGTGCACTGAGCGCCCCAGGTCCTGGCAGATACGTTGTCCTCACGGGAAGACGTGGGCTGCAATCGAGGTTCTTGGTTCCTTGTGAACTTTGTCTTCGAGCATCCAGTGTCGCTGATCCAAGCAGCTGTGACTCTGGCTCTGAGTCCTGTGGGCACTCAGTTCCTCTCCAGAAGCTCTTGGGCCTTCCCTCCTGACCTCCAGATTCTGAAACGTCACCAGAAGGGGAAGCAACACCCTTTGCCTCAGTCCAGCTCAGTACTCGGGAGCCTGGCTCACGTCTCTCTGTTCCCTTCCGTGTTGTCCTCATGGAGCTGCAGATGACACCCACCGAGTTGGCCCTCGAAACCCCAGCATCTCCCTCCTAACAGTCGACAGCAAACGCATCCAAAGCCCAGGTGCTACAGAGCCCGGCTTAAGGGACGTGCTGGGGCAGAGGGACTTACTTCAGAAGGACTTTTCTTGCCTGTGAAAAGAATTGCTCCTTTTACAAAGAGGACATTGGCTGTTTTCTATGTTGACCCAAAGAATAATTTCCCTTTGTTGCCCAAAAAAAGCAGAGCTGGCCTGTAGAAGCTGAATGAATGGGGAAAGTTTCCATCTTTTTAAAAAATAAATTCTGCCCCTTGTGAACCCACAGGAACCCGACTGGAGAGTTGAAACCTCTGGGAACCCAGGCCAAGGCATTTTGCAAGTGTCATGTCTCCATTCTGAGTGTTTTTAAAGTCGTGATTGTCCCAGGGTTTTGAGGGATCCAAGGAGACGAGAACAGCAGTGTGAAATGATGCATGACACTCGCCACAGATGGCCGTGTCAGAGCCTTATCTGGAAACATGCAAGCAGAGGCTGGCTCCATGGGCAGAGGCGCTGCTGGCGCCAGGCTCCCCATCAGCCTGGGGAGGAAGCTTCATGGCCAACATCAGTGAGACTCCAGCCTCTGGGGTCAAGGGCCCAGCCCGGCCAAGAACCTGAGAAGCCCTGTCCTCCCTGCCGGACATCATCGCCCCTGAGAGCTGGTCTCTTGCTGTGGGCAGGGTCCCTGGGGTGCCCCCCCGAGCCTGCACCCCAACTCCCCACCACCCTCAGCTATCTGACACCTCCCCTGAAGAAGATGATTCCTGCCAACCCTGCAGAAAACTCCCAGGGAGCCATGGGAAGGGGAGCAAGATGGGCAGGACTGGCTATTCCCAGGCAGGAGAAAGGAGGGCTGCCCCTCAAACCCACCATTCAGGGAAGGTGAGGGCAGGTGATGGGCCCTGGGGTAGGAAACCCATTACCCAGTACTCCTGAGCCTCAGTTTCCCCATCTGCAATGGCGATAGCAATGGCTCTACCGGGAGGTTTCTCTGATACATAAGTGATGTTGTGTCATGAAGAGCTGGCACAGCACGGGCAGAGAGTGACCAGGAACACGCTTCCACATCCCGACAGCTTGGCCCTTGTTGTCTGGGCTCTGGCTGAGCAGGTCAGGATGAAGGTGTGGCCCCTTGGCTCTCGAAGTCACCATTTGCCAGCTGGACAAAGGTCCTTCCAGCTTAGCCTGTTTGTTTGTTTGTTTGTTTGTTTAGACAAGGTCTCACTCATGTTGCCTAGGCTGGAGTGCAGAGGCACAATCACAGCTCGCTGCAGCCTCGACTTCCCAGGGTCGAGCCATCCTCCCTTCTCAGCTTCCTGAGTGACTGGGACTACAAGTGTGTACCACCACACTCAGGTAATTTTTATTATTATTTTTTGGTAGAGATGGAGGGCTCCCTATGTTGTCCAGGCTGGCCTCAAACTGCTGGACTCAAGCAGTGTTCCCACCTCGGGCTTCCAGAGTGCTGGGATTACTGTCCCTGGCTGAGCTTGGCTCTTGGTGACAATGGGGCGGTGACTGAGGACTCAAAGGGCCACACATCCCATGGCAGGCAGGAAACGTGAGGCTTATCTCCCCCAGCAGATTGGAAAAAAACAATGAGAAGCAGCTCAGCCCGGCACTCCCCAGTCAATGTAAGCCAACTTAAAAACAGCTTGGGCCGGGCGCAGTGGCTCACACCTGTAATCCCAGCACTTCGGGAGGCAGAGGCGGGCGGATCACGAGGTCAGGAGATCGAGACCATCCTGGTTAACGCAGTGAAACCCCGTCTCTACTAAAAATACAAAAAAATTAGCCAGGCGCGGTGGCGGGCGCCTGTAGTCCCAGCTACTCGGGAGGCAGAGGCAGGAGAATGGCATGAACCCAGGAAGCGGAGCTTGCAGTGAGCCAAAATCACGCCACTGAACTCCAGCCTGGGTGACAAAGTGAGATCTGTCTCAAAAAAAAAAAAAGAAAAAAAACCAGCTTGAGTGGCAATTGTGTGGCCTTTCCCACTATGGTGCTTGCACCCACCACCCCTGGAGAAGTGCAGGGCCCCGCCCCAAAGCGTCTGATGCAGCAGAGCTGTGTGTTGGGTGTGCTGACCATGTGCATGTGTGCACGAGTGTGTGCGTGTATATATGTGTCATACATATGCATGTGTGTGCACCTGGGTGTACATGTCTGTGTCCATGTATGTGTGTGTACATGTGTGTGCATGTGTTGTACCTGTGTGTACAGGTATGTACGCATATGTATACACACATGTGCACATGTGGGAAGAATACCCATTTCTGACAAGTCTCCGGGTGAGGCTGAGTCTGCCGTTGCAGGGCCCGCATTCTGAGCACCCTGGGTCTATCAGAACGTAAGCCCTCCTCCTCCTCCTCCTGTCCTATCCCACAGGCCAGAGAATAAGAGGTGCACATGTGGACGGGGGTTCCAGGACAGCATGGCTTCTTACAGCAGAAACACAGCAGAATCTGTCCATCAAGGCAGGCGTGGTGAAATCAGTTATGCACCCTTACCTAGGAATCCTCCGCGCCCACAAAAGCCGTACCTGGAGAGCCAGGGCCCGGGTCTCCCCTGGGCTATCATGGCCTGCCTCTCCCCCTCCCTCTACAGACCCTAAGGAGCACCCAGCAGGGACAGCACCACCCACCCTGCCCCTCACTCATGCAGCCCACACCAGGCAGACGTGACGCTGTGGACCTGGGTAGGCACCACGTTTCAAGGCAAATCAAGCAGCTGACCAGGAGATAATTCAGGCAAAGGAACAGAATCATCAGATAAAATATAGGATGCCCAGTTATATTTGCATTTCAGGTAATTCAAATTTGATTCAAATTTGAAATTAAAATGTGAATTATTTTATAGTATAAGTATGTCCCAAACATATACATGGATTATATTACATTGTGCTATATTATATCATATTATTTTATTAGGAAGGTGGTGACCACTGCTAACCAGGAGGTGCCCATCTCCCAGCCTCATGGGGACACGTGGTTCTTGGTCACGAGAGCTGGGCACGGTGGAAGGGATGTTTAGAAAGCTTTGGTCAAACATATATATATGTGTATATATATACACACACACGTATATATAATATTTGGGACATACTTATACTACAAAATTATTCAATGTTTATGAAATTCAAATTTACCTGGGCATCCTGTATTTTTAGGTTAAATCTGGCAACCCCTGAAAGGAGCCAAAACCCCTTCAGGCAGTCGAGAGTGTGGCAGCCAGGCCAGCACGCTGCAGCTCCCTCCCTCTCGGGCCGTGGCCTGGCCCTGCAGGGGACATCGTAGGAACAATAATTGTCCACGTCTAGTGCTGGGGGCATCATGGGCGCTGCCCCAGAGCCACGACCAGCCCCCCTTTCGGTCAGCATGGTGAGTCTTCAGATGCCCCATGTCAAGGATCATGCTTCTTTTCTAAACGCTGAGAGTGGGCCCCTCGTGGTGGGCAGGTTCCCCGCGAACGGAAACGCCTTCCCTTGGTTCCCTCCAGCAGGGTTCAGACAGGAGCCAAGATCTGGGTCCGAACAGTGGGTGGAAAGCGCCCCCTAGAGGTGTGATGTGTTGGCTGCAAGTTTGGCAGCTGGGCCTGGGGACACCCTCACCAGGTTGCCTTCAGTCGGGGGTTCCCCCGAAGCCCAACTTCTAATTTATCTGCAACCACAGGCTACTTTGGTCAGAAGGGAAATAATTAGATCAGAACCTTAATAGCATTAATTTCCCCCGAATAGGAAGAAAGTGAATGGTGGGGACATGAGAGCTGTTAATTAGGTGACGACTTCTCCCACCTGGCTGTGCTGGAAAAGCGCCTCTGTGGAAGACACAGCACCCAGGACAGGAAGAGGCAGGCTCGGTGGTGTTGGGTCAGAAACCCCCCGCCTCGTCTGGCAGCCATGCAGTCCCCAGCACCTCTGAGGCCACTCAGCCCGGGAAAGGGGACGACACAGCTGTGCTCGGCGTCTGGCTGCCATGCAGTCCCCAGCACCTCCCGGGCAAGGCCACTCAGCCCAGGGAAGGGGACAACAGAGCTGTGCTCGGTGTCCAGCTACCTGGATGAAGCCCAGGAGGATAGCCTATGCTGGAGCAGGAGGACCTGGGGGAACAAAACCCACAGCGGCCACCCAGCTCCAAAGGCTGTGCTCTTTCTACGATGTCTGGGATCTCAGGTATGAGTGGCAGAGGGAGCAGTTCCACCAGCCATGTCAGCCTCGCTGCAGTGGAATTCCACTTCTGTCCCAGAGACTCAGCCAGAGGGGAGGAAACTGTGACCACAGGCATGTGGACACGCAAGGGTATGTTTGAGTAAAGTCTTCTAAACCTCCTTTCCATTACACCCAACTCTCATGACCAAGAACCAGGTGTCCCCATGGGGTTGGGAGATGGGCACCCTCTGGTTAGCAGTGGTCACCCCTTTCCAGAGATGACATCAGCTCACCAGGCAAGAAACTCCACTTAGTCAGAACCCAGAGCCGATCTGGGGAATGATTCACACTAGCTAGACTTATACAAGACTGATCTATAACCTGGAAGGCTTGTATGTTCGCTAACCATGGGAAAGCCTTTCCAGGGCCTGAGCATTTCCCACCTGGGATCCAAGTCATCTGTTCCTAGGATCAAGATATTTGGGGAGCCACATCCATCTTTTGAAGGAAATTTGAGCAACAGGGATCATAGAGTGAGGATCATTCATTCCATCCCCATGAGTGAGGGAATGGGTCAGTAGGTTGCCATCCACAAATGGTCACTGTCCACCTGCTTTGTGTTGGCCTTGCCTGGGAGGTGGGGGACAGTGGTGCCACACCAGACCCAGCCCTGGCCCCCTGGAGCCAGCTGATAGCCTGGCAGTGGAGGCACACGTTGAACAAATCATCATCCATGATTCAGAATGACAGGTGTGCAAAGTGTGTCCCACAAAGAACTTGCCGAGTGAGAAACACAGGTGTGTGGCCATAGAGACCAAATGGGGCCCTCACAGCTGGGTGTGCACAGGAGAGAGACAGGCAAAGGGGTGGGGGCAGGCATTTGCACCCTAGGGGGCTACAGGGTGATTTGCAAGGGGAGCCCAGGTGAGGGTCCACAGGGACTAGAGCAGGCCAGGAAGGGAGGTGGTCAGGGGTTGGCTGGAGCCAGGCTTCTGAGGGTTGATTCCTGGCTCTGCTGTCAACCCAGGCAGTTCCCTACTCTACTCATCTCTGACTCCTCCCCTCAAAGCAGGTGTGACAGTGGCACCTGCCTCAGAAAGGAGGGGGCGTGTGGGGAAAGCGGGTATTTCATGACGAATGCCCAGCATAGAGCCCTGGAGACAGTACCCCTGCTCAGGTTCCCACTAGAGCAGGCAGACAGCCCCAGCTGGGATGAGCCAAGCGTGTCTCCATGTGGACCCAGCCCAATCTGGGGCTCAGCACCCTCGGGTCTCCTGGTCCGGGCTCCTGTCTAGCCCTTTTATGCCATCTTTTCTCAATAGGCACAGGTACAGGGGATCCCCGAGGGAGAAGGTGCTCCAGACTGAAGGAGGAGAGTACCTGGCTGGGACGGGGTGGGGAGGCGCAAGGACCCCAGGGTGTCCAGGGAACAGTAAGGAGATGAGTAATGGTGAGGGTCCCGTCTCCTGAGCGTTTCTGTGCTAAGTGGCTGTGGGCTGGGTTTCATTCCTCTTTAGAGCAAGGCTGAGGCCAGGCCCACCTAGGGGCCAGGGTAGAGGACGTACCACGTGACAGCAGTGGCCTAGACCCCTCACGAAGTCTTACTGGGCCATATCTCCACCAGGTCATGGCAGGGACCTGTATCACCAGCGGCACCCTGCACAGATGGGGACGCTGGGGCCCAGGTCCCAGACAGCCAAGCCAGCTCTTCGACCACTCAGCGGTCCCAGCAGGTGAGGCTGTCCACAGTCTGCATGGGCTAAGAGGCTGAGCTCACCAGTGCCAGCTCTGGTTGGTCACCAGGATGCCAGAGCGCGCTGGCACAGGCCCAGGGCACCCTGCAGAGCAACCAAACCTCACGGAGATCCTCAGGGAAGCGGTTGTTGTTGGCCCATTGTACGGAGGAGGCCACTAAACCCTCAAGAGGCTCACGGCCTCGCCCGGTCACACAGCTGGAAGGCGCCAGCGCCAGGAAAGGGAGCCGGAAGCCAGACCCGGAGCCTACACCCTCAGAGGCGAAAATATCTGAGCAGCGGGTCCCTGGCCAATGGCCCGTGGTGGGCGTGGCCGAGAGGGAATGGGGCGGAGAGAAGCCCGTGAGGGCAGGGCGGAGGCGGGGCGGGCGGAGC